TTTACTGGACCTTCCATCAGATTGAAGTCATGTTCCTTCACATAATTCTTGAACATGTTCTATTTAATAGAATAGGACTGTTTAGTATTTGGTTGCAACACTGCTTACAATGTCAGATAGACTTGTGGATCTAGATCGGTTCTTGTTATCAAATGATCAACCAAGCCATCAGGTGTAGCATCAGGTGTGCAAAATCTTGCCTCAGTTCTGTGTTATTAAGTCTGGTGTGTTCTGAAGGTACAGAAACGTCCAGTTCAACAGGCAGAGAAGAGACAGAAACCAAGGTTGTCTTGGCCACCAAGGTGTTATAAGATGAAACAAGTTCTGTCCCTTCTGATTTTGTCAATCATTCTCATAATCAGAGGAAAGGGCAGAAACATACAGAAAGTTCCCTTCCATGGATTGAGGAAAGTGTCACCCAGGGTGTTGGGGACAATTCTGGCTCATGAACAGTAAAGCTCTGCACGGCACATTGTTTGCCACCGGAAAAAGGTCAATGGACGGTGTGCTCCAAAGAGCAAAGATGTTGTCCTCGATTACTGGGTTCAGTTCCCACCCATGCATTTGGAATGGTGCTCAGCTGAGGGCATCTACTGTGGTGTTCCAAATCCCTGCCACATGGATGGCAACTAAGGTTATATTCATGTGGATGCACCAGTCCCTTATGAGAATGGTCAACTGAGGCAGAGATGTGGACCTCTTGACACCCTGTTTGTTGAGGTAGAAAACTACAGTGTGTTGTCCGAGGCAACTTGTAGATGTCTGCCATTCAAGATCTGTTGAAAAGAGATCAGTGCCGTGTGAACTGCAAGGAGTTTGAGAAGGTTGAAAGGCCTTCTCTGATCCCATCCAGTCCATAGGCCTTGCAGTTGGTAACTGGCGAGATGCATCCATAGTTACTGCAAGTATCAGTTCTGGTGGTATGAAGGGTTGTACCTAGGTCAAGTTGAGCTCTTGTGTCCACCAGGAAAGGCTCATCCTCACAAACCAGGGGAGTCCCAGAACTTTCCGAAGTGAATTGTGGTTGGGATGGTTCTTCCAAGTGAACCACAATTGGAGTGGTCTTATGTGTAGCCATACATATTGAATTGCTGCTACTGTAGATACCATATGACCCAGAAACTGCTGAACTCTTCAGGCAGTGGAGATCAGTTCGAACTGGAGGTGGTGGGCTGACCTGGTAAGTTGCTGCACACCGTCCAGTGGAAGATTGGATGCTTCTTTAGCCTGGACCTATCAGGCCCCAAAGTATATGATACATTGTGAGGGAACAAGCATAGATTTTTTTATTGTTAATGCACAGTCCAAGTATATGGAAGAGATTGCATGCCATTCAGAGGGAGAGCAGCAGATTGTCCTTGGACAGGGCTAATAGCAACCAGTCATCCAAATAAGGGTAAATTTGGCTGTCCTGCAGCCTCAAGTGGGCACAGACAAAAGCCGTATATTTTATAAAGACTTTTGGTGGTGCTGACAGTCCAAATGGTAGAACCCAAAACTTGGAACCAAGGGTTCCGAACCAATTTGAAATCTTAAGAAATGGCTACAAACTTGGTGGATGGCAATATGGATATATGCATCCTTTAAATCTATTGATACAATCCAGTCCCTTTGTCGCAACAGTGACAAGATGTTTTGTAGGAAGACCATTCGGAAGTTTTTGTTTAGAATAAAGTAGTTGACTCCCAGAAGGTCTAATATCAGATGGAGACCTCCATCCTTCCTCAGGATGATAAATTACCTCAAAGTGGAACCATACCCTACTTCAGATTGGTTGACAGAATGAGACAGATACCCCCCCTTTGCTAGTAAAGTGTTAAATTCCTCTGTGAAGGTTGCAGAAGGAGTTAGGCAGACCATTCCAAGGGGTGGTAAGATCTCAAATTTGATTTGGTATCTGTGTTGTACTATGGAAAGTACCCAAACGGTCCAATGTAATGGCTTCCCAATTAGGAAAATAATCTTTCAGGTGGTCGTCAAATATAGATGTGGGGGACTGGTTCATACTAGCCACCAACACTGCTTCCTTTAGGCATCTAGCCTTTTCTTAGAGGGTTGCTGGAATCGTGTGGTATCTCAGCAGTGTTGTTGGGCCGTGGGTGGCTGCTGCTGTTGTTGGTGCCCAGGAAAACTGAATGGAGCCCTGGTGTGATAGGGCTGGTATTGAATGGGTTGGCTCCATGGCCACTTAGGCGCTCTTCGAGGTTGGAAGGGACTGAATCCCATTCACCTAGCTGTCACCCTGGCTTTCTAAATGGTGTCTAATCACTTGCCCATTCTCAAGTGGAAGAGCTCTTCCCCATGGAACAGCATGTTTTCAATATGTGAGCGGGTCTCTTGTGGAAGACTGGTTGCGTGTAACCATGCATGCCACCTGATTGCCATCACACCAATGAAAACCATTGAGTCACAATTGATGTGGTGGTATGCCATGTTTGTTTGCTGCTTCAACAGCTTTATAGCCTCAGATATAAAGACTCTGGAGAGTTCCTGTTGTTGCTCAGAAGGCAAGTCCAGCAGAGCTTACATCTTCTGCCAGAGAAAAACCTGGTACCATCATGGCTTCGTAATTCAAGATGCAGAGGCCCAGGCCTATGGCAGAGTAAAAACACCTTGTCATCCTGTCCAACCAGTAACCTCCTTGATCAGTCGGAGTGGAGTGCTCTCTCTGAAAGGTGGTGAAAAACACAGGGTACATGCCTTTTCCCCTGAACATGCCATTGAGTCTCTGGCAGGCCAGATGAAGCTGTGCTGGTTGCTATCAAGTGTCTTTCATGGCATGGACCAGCATTGGCAGAAAAGGTATAGCTACAACATATACAGTACAGGGTTCAGTGTAGGTTCGGGGAGCTGCTGGGTTTGAAAGCCAAGTGATGGTGCCATCTGAAGGACTTGCTCCAAGAACCAACCTAGATCTTCTCCTGGAGATCTTATGCCCTGGGAGGAGTCAACATTCTCTGGCAAAGTGGAGACTGGTTCCTCAGACATTGGCTATGAGTCAGAATTAGAGGCAAACTTCATTGGACTGGAGGATGTCAGGACAGCAGGTGGTGAGGGAAGCCTTTGGGTTCCACAGTAGGTGTGTGGCAGAATTGATAATCAGCCAGAATTGGTTCCGGAACCAGGTGGTGGTTGGATTGTGCAGGAATCCAATGTTCCCTCAGTCAAGCACAGGTTGGTGGCCACATATAACAGTGTCACTCTGAAACATGTCCCCATGGTTATCCAGAGAAATAATGCTCAGTGTATGTCAGAGGTGAACCCCAGTATGCATCTTGTACATAGGGGAGGAACAGTCAATTTGAAGTGCTCAACCAGACAATGAAATGAAATTGTCTGGGCGAGATGGATTGGTAGGTTAATAGAGGCATTGGAGGCAGCATTGGTGGTTCCCTGTCCCAGCATGGTGTATTTACTGATTGGCATAAGAAGTGATCCAAGCAATGGAGATGGAGATGGTGAGTCTTGTATCTCTCCTTCAAAGGAGGTTGGGGCAACCTGAAATGCATATTTTGGTTCCCTATCTACACTGGCGTCATTGCTTCCAACTACTATCACAGCAGCTATCCTTCACTTTCAAATATTGCATTTTCTAATATTCATCCTTATAGAATACTTCTTCAAACAAGTTTGTCATCCTTTTATCTTTTTTCATATACTTCCTTCATACCACTAATAGTAATTGCTTTGTTTGTGTTTCTTTTGCAGCATTTCCCAATTTGTTCATTATAAATCTCACCTGAAAGAAGCCACAATACATCTATCTGTAGTTAAAAGCTATAAAGCTGAACCTTAAAAAAAACACAACTGTCAAATACAGAAGTTCACAAATCTGGCAATCCTTGATAGTAAAGTTTGTCATGCCATTCAGCTTGACTATTCCTCAAAGGGGAAAGAAAGATTCTTCATTGTGGTAACACGCTACTTTAAAAGTTTAGCACAGAATCCAGTAAGACAAGTGGGAAACCACTAAATCTCACAGATTCAGGACTTGGAGTAAGTGGGAAACCTTTAACTCTACCATATTATTCTATTTCATTTTCATTTGTGGAATCTGATTACCCATTTCCTAGAAATTATAGGTCACAAGTTGGATTTCCAAAATACCAAATATAAGGCATACTGACGTTGTGTAAAATGAAACCATCACAACTTGTCAGGATTCAAATAGAAATTACCCAGACAGTCTATCGAAAACTTTTTTATACTGTGTAACAGAACTTTTTTTCTTTTATTAAAAAATTATAGCAGAAACATTATGTAACTAAAGTACAAGGGTTGTCAATCACAGGAACTTAAGTTCATTTGCAGCTCAGTCCTATATTCATCTACCCAAAATTAAGTCACATTGGGCTTAATAGGTTCCACTTCCAAATCAGAGTGAATCGAATTGCATTCTTAATATATATCTGAATTCTTATGTTCCTCTTCTATTCTTTTCCAGCTCTTATTCAGCCTAGCAGGGCCAAAGCTCTGGTGGCAAAAACAGTAAAAACAACATTTCTAACTTGTCCGAGATCTTGCACTAAGAAAAGCAACTACATTAGTTTGCTGACTTGTGAACCATGGAACTTCACTTGAGACAACTAAAATACACCAGATGGCTGTATGCATCATCATCATCATACGTGCACACTTTGTCTTTCTTTAATTTGCAAGGAATGCAAGGCTCAAAATTCTTCTCCTCTCCATTTTACCCTCAAAACAACAATTCTGTGAGGTAGGTTAGGCTGAGAGTGCATGACTGGCTCAAGTCACCCAGTGAATACCTTAAATGAGTATGAATTAGAATTCGGATCACCTGAGTTTCAGCCCAACTCTATATCCACATGTTGACTCACATTCTGCTGTATGTGTGGGAAAGCACAATTTAGTTCAGAAACCTAAACTGTAAAAGGAGTCCCATGCAAGAGAGTGCCTCAGCTTGCAGCAAGCCTCTACAAGAAATTTTATTGGTGGAATAAAGTATAATGCATCAAGACACTCTTTTCTTCACTTACCACTGGATCTGTTTTTCCGATTTGATTTTCCACCTGTAAGAAGCATCTTGAGACTGTTCCGAAACATGGCTGCTCTGGTCTATTCGACACCTCTAAAGCTGCATAAATTAAAAAAAAAATCAATTAACTAATTAGTAAAATACCAAGCTCTCAAACTATCACACAAAGTTTAAAAAGTGCAGATGTTCTATTCTGGGCTCAAACAAACTGACTGGGCCTCAGCACATATTTCAGAATTCTGGTCTCGCCTACTTAATATTCTGCGACAAAATGTTTTCATGGGTAAAATTAACAATGCAGCCCCCATGTTGATGCAATCTAGAATTCAGAACTTTATTGCAAAAGAGACCTTGACATGCAAAAGGAACCAAGAGTACCAAACAAACAAATGTAAGAAGCTAATAATGTAAAAAGTATATTTTGAGATGCACTAGTGGAAGAGGCTCAGAAATCTTAGAGGATGTTTTTGGACACACATACATTCAATGGCAGTCGATTAGTTATATTATTTACTAATATAGCTCCATTAACCAATTTCTGTGTAAATTTAAAAACCCATGGATCAAATTGTATACAACCACCACCATAAAATCCTATGTAATTTGTCCAGGGGTTTCTTGCCTATCAGTGTAAATTTAAAATAAAATAATCTCAGCAACACCAGGTAGACTATCAAAATTTGGAGGGTTGGCTGAATATGACTTTTTGGAGTGCATTTTTGATATCCTTGGATAAATCTTAAAAAAAAACTAGTAATCCAAAGTTTCTATGGTGTTAAGGGTGAAAAATTTCATTAATTTATTCATATTACTTTTAACCTGAACTCATGTAGCTGATCTGATTTGAACTCTTGTATCTTGTTTTATATTGTATTTTTGTATATTTATGTATTTATTCATTTATTAGATTTCTAACATGGCTCCCTGGGCCGGTTACAACAATACAGAACCATATAAGAATATAAAAACAACTAAAAACACCACAATCAATAAACAATGAAAGTGCACCCACCAGAACTCATGATTTCATAAAAGCCATATCCCATTCTTTTAAAATACCATTAAAAACCAATTTAATTATTAAAATACCAGTCTTTGCCTGGCACTGAAAAGAATATAAAGATGGCGCCAGCCAAACTTCTCTGGGGAGCTCATTCCAAAGGCAAAGGCCAGGTAGGTTCATACAGAAAGAGGTGTTCCTTTATATACCTTGGCCCCAAACAGTTTAGGGCTTGAAACACTAACATTACCACCTTGAATTGGGTCCATAACACAACTGGGAGCAAGTGGAGATGGTAGAGGACTGGCTTTATATGATCATATTTGCCAGCCCTTGTTAGCAGTCTGGCTGCCCTATTCTGGACCAAAGTTTCCGGACCATCTTCAAGGGAAGCCCCATGTGAAGTGCACTGTAATAGTTCAAGCAAGAGGTTACCAGTACGTAGATAACTGTTGTCAGGTCCTGTCTGTCCAGATATGGCTGCAGCTGATGAATCAGCCTCAGCACTCCTGGACACAGAAGGTGCTCCTGGACACAGAATACACCTGGAATTCCAGAGACAATTCAGGATCCAGGAACACCCTCAAGCTGTAAACCCTGTCCCTTAGGGGGAGTGTGACCCCATCAAGGACAGGTAAGAGGTCAGGAATGGAAGAAAAAATGACTCAAGCAATACTATGATGCCAAAAATTGGTTTATTAAAAATAAAAATATCAGGAAGTTGATCAGACAATTGACTAGATGGCCAACATACACATCAAAGAGACTATGTAATTGGAAGTAAGAGATAAAGGAGCTCTGATCTCACCACCAGAACAAGTACAGGAGCAGATTGTGATACTGACCATGACCTAGTAATGCCAAAATTCAGTGTAAAGACAGTCCACAAACAGAAAGATCAACCCAAAATTTAAATAACATTCCTGAGGAATTTAAAAACATATTTGCATTAATTGGTCATAAACTATCAGAACTGTGGACTGGGGGTTGTGTGAGAAATCCACTTTGGACTCCCAGATTCTGACCCACTTTGTAGCAAGCCAGACTGTGAGTTCCAGGTGAGCACACCAAGGGTTTGTGCAGTGCTTGCCAGGAATCAAGCTCCACCTGCTGCCAATCCTGCTGTGTGAGGCCACAAAAACAACAATGAAAGAGGAAAACAAATCTTGCCGAGCTAATTTGGTCTCATTTTTTTTATTTGGGTCACCTCTCTGATGGACTATGGGAATTCTGTGGACAAAATACATCTTGAAGTCAGTAATTTTTTTTAACAGAGTATGTATGGCATTCTGATCAGCAAACTGGCTAAACGTGGGCTAAATGCAACAGTTGGACCCACAGTTGGCTTCACAATTAGACTTGGAGAGTGCTCATCAATAGCATCCTTTCTGACTAGGGAGATGTAACAAGTGGGACGCTTCAGGGCTCTTCAACATTTTTATTAAAGATTTGGATGAGGAGGTGCAGGATGCTGATCACCATGCAGATGGCACAAGATTGGGTAGAAGAGCGAATACTCTGTAAGACAGAAACGGAACTCAAAGTGATATTGATAGGCTGTAAAACTAGGCTGAAAGCAACAAGGTGAAATTCAATGAGGATAAATGTCAATTCTAAACCTAGGAAAATGGAACTGAAACAGAAGGTACTTAATTCAACAATACTACAAGTGAGAAGAATTTTGTAGATTACAAGCTGAATACAAACAACAGTGCAAAATGTTTACAAAAATAATGTTTCCCCTCTATTTGGTGCTAGTTAGCCCACATCTTCAATATTGTGTTCTGGGCACAGCATTTTAAGAACAGAATGTAGACAAGCTGGCAGGAATTCAGAGGAGGAGAACAAGGATGATCAGGGTCTGGAAATAAAGCCCTCTGAGCAGAGATTGAAAGATTTGGACATGTTTACCTTAGAAAGAGAAGTTGGGAGAGGTATGATATGAGCTTTTTAAATACCTTAAACAGTGTCACACAAAGGAGGACTAACAGCTCTTTTTAGTAATGCAAGAATGCCAGACACAGAATATTGGGCTTAAGTTACAGAAAGCAAGTTTCTGACTGGACAACAGGAAAAACTCCTGACTGGCACAGCAATATGGCAATCGAACCAATTACCTAGGGAGGTTGTGGGCTCTCCCACCTTGGAGGTGCTCAAGAGGCAGCTGGACAGTCATTTATCAGGGATGCTTTAATTTCGTGTCCAGCACCGAGCAGAGGGCTGGAACTGATAACCTATGAGTGTATGAGTCTAAAATACCTCTTCCAGAAGATGAAAGAAATCAAAAGGAAATTCATACGTATATTAGGAATTCTCAGAGACCAATAGGCAGACATACTATCTAAACTACCATAAAAGTAAGTTGGAACATTATACAAAAAACATACAGAAGGTATAAAAGGATAACCCACCAAAGTGCACAGAGATTCCCACAACTCTGTTCAGCTGATTAGCAATGCAACCAACTAAGAAGCACACTGAATGCCCCACTGCTCAGTTGTTTCTAATGCTAATCAGTTGGGCAGCATGGATGGGAGTTGGCAAAGTGGCTTTGAAGCAGGAAGGGGTCTCATGAGCCAAATGAAATTGGCCAAGAACTGCATGCAGCCTGCATATTCACAGAAACATAGCAAGTCAGAAGGGACCTCCTGGGCCATCTATTCTGACCCCCAGCACAAGTTGGATGCACTCTTATAATGTCCAACAAGTGGTTGGGTCCAATCTTTCCCTGAAAGCTCTCACTGATGGGGCCTCCATTACCTTCTGTAGAAGCCCATTCCATATCCTATTTATGTCATAAGAAGCAACATAAGCCTTTTTCCATTCAGTTCCTTCTTAACACTTCAGAGAAGACATAGAACAGATGTAGTAATGTATGAAAAGGAATTGTGTGACTATACAAACGCTCAACAGACACCATTGTAGCTAATTAAGCTACTGTCTACATATAAAAGATTAGCAAACAGAAACCTGGAAGAAGATATATTGTGCTCATAGGAAGAAACGGAGGGGGGGGAGAGGGAGAGAACAAGAACTGTTTGTTATTTGAAGGACACTTATTTGAAACTAAGGCTGCAACAGCAATACAAATGTAGTATTGTGGGGAAACAGAAGAACATGAGTTAGACAAGGAAATAACATTTTGAAGAAATTTATTATTCCTTCTGTACAGAATATCTAGAAATTTACATCATAAATCAACTCCCCAAAATTTACTATCTTGATCAAATTATTCTTCACAACTCACCATAACTTCTGTATTACATCCAAAATAAACCATCTTTACACAACTCCCTGCTCTTAGATGCACACCTTAACAGGGTGAGGAGGTTTGAGGCTGTCACCAAAGCTGAGTGCAATGGTGCCACGAGGCCAGAATGTCCCCCTTATTTGGTCTTCAAGAGGGATCACCCAAGGTGGAATGGTCAAAGCAGAGACACCAAACTAAAATGCAGCCCCTCTTCAGGAGGAATGATCAAATTAACAGAAGAGAATGGGTTTCTCTTTTGAAGATAGGATGTTGTTTTCAGTCAAACACAAAGGATTTTACTAAGAAATGACAAATTCAGAAGAAATGGTGTAGCTCTAATACTGAGGAAAGAGGCTAACATGCAAAATCCAGCTGAATGGTATCTATCAGAATTTATAGAAAACCTATGAACATAACTATCAATCAAGTCCACAATCCAATAACAGATGCTGAAGAAGAATAACACAAACCTTTTATGCAAGTGTTCAAGAAGAAGTTGATAACATATCAAGACATGTTGCGCCCCTTAAGATCTGCAGGAGAGACTCTGCTCCGGGAACCCTCCCTGAAGGAGGTAAAGATGGTCCCCACCTGGAGAAGGGTCTTTTCTGTGGTGGCACCCAGACTATGGAATGTGCTCCCCAGAGAGGTTTGCCTGACTTTATATTATTTCGGCACCAGGTGAAAACCTTTTTATTTGCCCATCATTTTAAGAATTAGGAATTTTTAATCTGGTTTTAACTATCTACAGTCGCATTTTGATTTTGTTTTGATCTTGATTCAGTTTTGACTTTGCTTTTATTGGTGATATGTTACTGTTGGTTTTATGTATATCCTTAATTATTAATT